CACAAGCTCCAAACAGCAAGGAAGCCTGTTATCATGATCCCAATTAAGTAGACGTCTTCAACATCCTCCACGGAAAGTATAGAGAGGCACACGACCCTCCACTCCTGCCAGGAGTCCGTCGTGTATCCGCTGCAAATGTTCCGTCGGGGCAGGCGGGCTCTCCTTTGCCCAGTCTTCTTGTTGAGAAAATTTGATCAATTGCGTTGAGAGACCAGCTGATCAGATCCATGATTCAGGTTTTTTCGGAGTGAAATGCAGAGAGGCTCTGATAGATTCAGACAAAGACAGCACAGGACAAAGAGTAGCAAGCAGGGCAGATAAGGGCCGGGAGGGAGCAAGAGAAAAAGCGTCCGCCTTCGTCGAGAGCCGGAAGAATGGTAGCTGTCCTTTGCAGTAAGCTGCAATGCATCTGTATTTTTGACATTTGTAACACCTAATAGGCAGGGGAACGTATAATCTTACATTATATCTCATAATGGCTTTTTTCTATAAATTGGTAAGGTGTTCAGCTTTACATTTCAGTATCACAGATAATCTGTCGACCTTTTCACCCTTTCTCCAAGTTTTCAGTTGTCTAATAGTTGTTATCCTTCCTTAGTTTATCACTTCCATGCGATCCATGCGTCTTCTGTAGGACAAAGGACAAAAAAAATTGCTAAAAAAATAGTCAACAACATTAAGCTAGAACATTTTTTTCTCTTTTTGTTAGCCATTTGATACATAGCTGTAAGCTCTAGAGAAATTTGCATAAGTAAACACATGCATATCTATTATTTTTGTATTGCTGTGCTTCTTCGGTATTACCTTGATGTGAGAAAATGCAGTTTTATGAGCTTCTACATATTGTTGCTACTTTATACATCTACCCCACCACAAATGACAGGGAAATATTGCATTTATTGTGACGATTCGTGCTCGTGATAGTGCGGGTGGACCCAAACGAAAAGGGAGACGGGGTGAAGGGTTAAAGGAAACAGGATTTATTAAGGGAAGGTGGTGGAGTGATGGGCACCAGGAGGCAGAAACATAGTCCGGTGAAGAGGTGCCGGTCGTGGGGGATGCCGAGGGTGGTGCGAGGAGGTCCGGTGCTCGTGCGTGCCTCTGTGGAGGTTTTCCTGGTGTAGAGAGGGAGCCGTGACGAGGGAAACCGGGGTGGTGCGCAGGGGTCCGGTGCTCAGGGTTCGGTGCTCGTGGGGGGGTGCTCTCGTGAAGGTGTCCGTGAATCCCCGTGGGTGACAAACGCTGGAGTGCTTGAAGGTGTGCCGAGTGCTGGAGCCGAGGAGGAGAACTGGAGACAGGTAGAGAAACACATCCCATAAACTCGAGGCTAGAGAACATCAATTTGCTCAGTGCGGTGTCGCAGCTCGTGGCCTGACTGTTACCCCGTGGTAGGTATCACAATCCTCTGGCGTCGGTCTTCTGTGAGACGCCAGTATTTAAGCTGGGCATGGCTGATCAGCCACAGCTGACGGCGATCTCCCTGATTGGCTCCGCCCAGCCTGCAGTGAACAGAGACACACACACCAAAACCCAAAAGACAGACAAAAACCCAAAAACCCAGTGAAACAAAGTCTAGGATCCTCACATTTATCTCTTAAATACTATAGTTCCTTTGCTGATTGATGTTTCCGCAGAAAACAGATATTGCACGGTTTTTTATAAAATAAAAATCTCAGGTATTTATTAAACTGCAAACAACTGTAAAAAGCTGTAAAACTGGACTTTGCACATTAATGTGGGGATATGTTTCTGCATTATTGTTTTCATTGCTAAGCTGTTTCATTTCATCGTGTTCATGATAAATATGTTTATGTCATGATCAGTATTACATTTGGTATGTTGCACCATTTTAAATATGTACCAACAACACTGAGTGACAACAGATAGTGGGACCATTATAAGCTTATAAACTGATGCCTTAGTTATTGATCTTAATGAAATATTGCAGCAGGTGGTGTGGTGTGGTGTGGTGGGGTTACATTTTCCTCAAGGTACAAGAAAGGCTTGGGCCAACCCTGATGTGTTGATTTGTTATTCAGTGAGGCATGGGATTACATGCTGCTTGTAAGCAGTATAATCCCAGCTAATCTGGGATTCAGTTTCACTCTGTACCGTGGACACAGCCTCACACTGGAGAGGACTGGGAATATGGAGCTACAAAAGGCCTGTATGAGTACAGGGTTTCACTGATCAAGGATGTATCTGTTGGTCCTTGTTCACATTTTGCAATCCTCTGTGCTCGTGGTCCACTCCTGTCCAGCCTTATGTGCCTGCACGTACGGGAACAGTGGAATAGCAGAGCCCAGGTTGAGTGAAGCTCACTTCATTTTCATGTCTGTGTGTTTTCTGTTTCTGTATGCAAATGGTCTGTTTCATTTTGTTACTCAGTGACATCCCATTTTGCAAAAGAAAGGTGTAATAATTTGGTGTTTGGACAAGAGTGGCTAACATTCACAGAAATGGAATTGCAGTAATGTTGCTCAATTTGAATTTAGAACAAGGATCCTACCGTCTCATATCATCAAATTTTTCTGCTTGACCATCTCTGATTTTCCTGAAATTTTTAAGGAAAACTGTAGACCTTTATAACCCCAACCCTCTAACGCTACATTCTGAGATTTTATTTGATTAGTTTTTTCTAAATTTGCTTGTCTGCCCACTTTCAGCACATATTTTGCTCATTTAAATTTGAGGCTATGTTTGAGAAACAATATCTTGGGAACGTTCAACGATAAAAGCTTGAAATGCCCTGTAATAACGGACAAGTAGATCTATCATGAAGTCATTGTGAAAAGTCTCGTCTTTGAGCATACACTAACAAAGAAATGATAATGCAGATATCAACTAGTGATATTTTCTGAACTATATGTAGTTGCATGTCACACTAATACAAAACAAAACTTAAAAAGTACTTTTTAATATGAAATACTTGGCCACAAAAACAAAACAAAAAAGTTATTTTCATTGAGCTTTCATAACTGATTGAGCAGTATCACAAGCTGTGCCACAAAAACAAAAAAAACCTGCAAGATAGCCTAATCCAAGCAGCAGACTTGTGGAATTTCAAAATAGTTCTCAAAATGGTTGTCAAAACATAATATATGGGCATGTTTTTCATTCTTGGACCATACTTTGTTAGGTGTCGAGAAGGTTTTTAATGTAATTGTGTGTCATTTCTTTGGGAATTATCCCTGCAATAGGTCATTAGGATGACCATGACCAAGTATGTAGGTTTGTTGGAACAGTGAGATTTTTCTAATGGGAAATGTTCATGCCCTGACATTTGTTTCATGATAATCAGATGTATTTGTGTGAGCTAGACACATTTAGTGGTAAATTTACTCTCACAGTAATTGTGAAAACTGTCTAGCACAGGCCTGGCCAACCCACGGCTCGCGAGCCGCATGCGGCTCTTTGCCTGGTTTCATGCGGCTCTTATGTTCATGTCGAATTTTGTGTTTATGTGTGTGTGTGTGTGTGTGTGTGTGTGTGTTTTCTTAATGTGTATGTGTATGCACATTCTCTTAGCTTGAGTTCAATACGGTATTTTCATGTTATGCACATGTATGTTTCGGGAGGGAATCCCGTATTGTTGAATATTGTGTCAAGCTCGCTCTCAAAATGGCAGGGAAAAAATGCACAGCAAAACGACAATATGAAGATGAACACAGGACGTTTTTAACAGAATGGGAGAGTATGTTTGTTCTTTTGTTGAACGTAATGGCAAGCCATTCTGCCTTATATGTCAGGCGTCATTAGTGCATTTCAAGGCTTCAAATCTTCAGCGACACTTCAGCTCACTCCATGCTAACATCGACCAGGAATTTCCAATGGGGACTGAGCTTTGCAAGCACAAGTTGGTCACTTTAAAAAATCAGGCAGAAAAGCAGACATAGTTGTTCCAAAAATGTATGAAGCACTCAGAGACCGTAACGCTTGCATCGTATCAACTGGCTTGGAACATTGCATGGGCTAAAAAGTCATACAATGAAGGGGAGTTCCTTAAAAAATGCCTCAGTGACGTTAAAATCTCCTGAAAAAAAAACTAAAACGAATGGTATCAGACATCCAACTCTCCCACCACACTGTTGAACACAGAATATCGGACATGAATGAAATTAAATGAAATGAAAAATACTTTATTTATCCCAGAAGGGAAATTCAATATTAAAATGGCTAATAATAAATAAATAGTTACAATTATATAATTTATTATAATTAATTTATATATATATATAAAATATAATATTTGATATATTATTAAATATAATATTATTAATTTATAATAATTATAAACAATAAAATAAATAAATAATTGATTATATTGAAATAATGAATAATTTTCAATAATGAAATAATTGAATTTCCCTTCTGGCATAAATAAAGTATTTTTCATTTCATTTCAAATAAACATGGCTATTGAATCACAGCTGCAGTCTGACATTCAAGCATGTGAGTATTTTAGTGTCGCATTGGATGAGTGTTGTAACATACAAGACAAGCCTCAGCTGGCAATATTTGCGCGGTCTGTGCCAAACGATTGTGTGATCAAAGAAGAACTCCTTTATATTGTGCCATTGAAAGACAGAACCCGTGGCATAGATGGGAAAGAAACAATGACGGCTGCATTTGTGAAAGCAAATCTGCCCATACCAAAGCTAACTGCAATAGCCACAGATAGAGCGCCAGCCATGATCGGATCTGTGAACGGGCTTGTTGGGCTGTGCAAAGCTGACCAAACATTTCCCGAGTTTTGGAATTTCCACTGCATCATCCATAGGGAGCAACTCGTCTCTAAATCATTGAATTTAGACAACGTCATGAAGCCTGTGATGGAAATTGTCAAGTACATCCACACACATGCGCTTAATCACAGGCAATTCAAGAATCTCTTCGCTGAGCTGGACTGAGTTCTTCCAGGTGACCTGCCGCTGCATTGCACTGTGAGGTGGCTGTCAAAAAGTAAGGTACTTTCTCGCTTCTTTGAGCTTTTGGATGTCATGAAACTGTTCATGGAGGAGAAGGACAAGGACTATCCTGAGCTCTCGGACCTCAAGTGGATTATGGATCTTGCCTTTTTGGTCGACATGCTGTGTCACTTGGACAGACTGAACCTGAGCCTGCAGGGTAAGTTAAAAATACTGCCTGACTTGGTGCAAAGGGTGTTTGCATTTACTAACAAACTTAAGCTGTTCAAGACGCATATTCAAAAGGGAGATTGAACGCATTTTCCCACTCTGCTAAAAGCCAGCGGGCAAGTCACCAGCACTGCCCTGAATAAGCAAACAGCTGGATGCAACACTGGTTGAAAACCTGAACGTAAGCTTTGCGAACCGGTTCCATGATCGACAAATGAAAAGGCCGCAGATTACCTTCATCGTCGACCCGTTTAATGTGGAGACCGACTGTTTGAAAGCCCCGCTAGTCACAGATGAGGCTGCGGCTGAGTTGGCGATGATCGATCTTTGTGAAGATGACCGACTGAAACCTGCTTTAAGGGAAGGGACCATTGAGTTCTGGAAAAGTGTGCCAATGGAAAAATACCCCAGTGTCAAGCGGGCTGCGCTTAAGATACTGTCAATGTTTGGGTCAACATACGTCTGCGAGTCTGTGTCTTCTAGCCTGAAACACGTCAAATCAAAGCATCGGCCTGTTCTGACAGACACACATGTAAAAGAATTGCTTCGAGTGGCAACAACTGACTACAAACCAGATTTGAAAAGGATTGTTCATGGCAAGGGCTGCAAGGTGGCGCAGTTGGTAGCACTGTTGCCTCGCAGCAAGAAGGTTGCCGGTTCGCATCCCGGTGGGGGCACCGGAATCTTTCTGCGTGGAGTTTGCATGTTCTCCCCGTGCAGCGTGGGTTCTCTCCGGGTTCTCCAGCTTCCTCCCACACAGT